GCAAGTGGAGAGTTCGGGAAGAGGTCACACAGTTTGAATTCTTTGGCTGGTTCTGAAGGATATGCTGTAAGAAGGATTATTAATATCAAATATAAAAATTTAATATGATTTAGTTTGTGTCTTCAAAATTATTTTTTGAGATACTTATGTTTTTAACAAATATTAGATTTTTGAGAAAAAGTCGAGAAGTTTTTCTGACGCAATGTCAGATTGGTGATCTTGTTTTTTTTAAATTAATTTGTGATTTGTTTAAAAGTTTTGATTTTTTTCTGAACTGCTTCCGGTTTGGTTTTTTTTTAAGTTCTTGATTTTTTTTATAAATCTTGGATCATTCCTGTAAAGTTTCGAGTATTTTTTTTAAGTTTCGATTGCTTTCTCAAAGTTTATATTGTTGTTCTAAGGTTTATTTCTAAATTTTTTCTCCAGATTTTTTTCTAAATTTTCTATTCCTCTTCTCAAGTTTTGATTGTTCTTCTGAATCTTCGAGTGCTTTTCTCTAGAACAGTTTCGATATTTTTCTAAATATTCGATTGACCTTCTAACTTTTGAATTACTTTTCCTAAAGTTTTCAAAGCTCTTTTAATGTTTCGGCTGTTTTTTTTTATAAAGTTCAAGACGATTGTTCTTTGTTTTTTAATAAGTTGATTCTGTTTTTTTTTTAAACAAGGCTTTTTTATTAAATTACGTCTGTTTTATTTTATTTTAAGTTCAGATTGTTTTTCTTAAGTTAACTCTATTTTTTAAAGTTGAGTCTGTTTTTTCTAAAGCGACGACCGTTTTTTCAAGTGAGACTTTTATAAAAATTTTTGTTTATTTTTATAATTTTGCGAATGTTTTTTTTTATAAAGTTGCGACCGAAAATTTTTTGAAAATTGCGACTGCTTTTTGAAAATTGCGACTGTTTCTTTAATATTGCGAATGTTTTGTGAAAGTTACGATTGTTTTGTGAAAATTGCGACTGTTTTGTGAAAGTTGCGACTGTTTTTTCAAACTTACGACTGTATTTTAAAAGTTGCGACTACATTTTAAATGTTGCATCTGTATTTTAAAAGCTGCGACAATTTTGTGGTTTTGAAGTAGCGACTGTATTTTGACAGTTTCTTTATTTTTTTAAATTTCGACTGTATTTTGAACATCTCGATTGTTTTTCTTTATTTTTCACTATTTTTTAGATTTCCACTATATTTTCAAAGTTTCGACTGTGTTTTGAGAGTTTCAGCTGTGTTTCAAAACTTTCAAATGTTTAGAAAGTTTCAGCTGTTTTCTCTATTGCCTACTATTTTTTTACGTTCCAACTGTTTTATTAATACCCACTATTTTTTTGGTTCCCACTATTTTTTTTGAAGGTTCAACTGGTTTACGAAAGTTTCAACTATTTTTCGAAAGTTCCCACATTTTTTAAGATTATACTGTTCTAAGTTTCAACTGTAAATTTAAATGCCAACTGTTTTTTAAGTTTCAATTCTTTGTTTTTAAAAGTTACGACTTTTTTGAAAGATTTGACTGTTTTTAGGTTACAATTTTTTTTGAATTGCTACTGTTTTTTATTCAGTTCTTATAAAGTTTTTATTATATTTTTCACAGTTTTTTGTTGCCAATTTTTTTTAGGTTTTCAGAGTTTTTTTTCAATTGTCTCTGCTGTTTTGAATTTCGCCTGATTTTTTTTCATTTTCACTGATTTTTTTTAACTTCCCGAAAGAGGAAGTTTATGTTTTCATCAAAAAATCTGATTCGCTAATTATGTTTTCTCGACGTTTCAAGTCTTTCTGAATCGAATGAGACCAAATTTGGAAAAAGTTTGTGTGTGTGTCTTGTCGATTTTTAAGAGTCTTTTTTTGGCAATAGATATCATGGTCTTATGAAACATACTAAAATGTTACGGCCCTACGACAAATACGTTCAATATTAAGAATTCATCAAAGTTTGAGAAAGTATTATAGTCGAAATTTGTGTCAAAACTTGCTTTTGTGATGTGATGAGTCAAACATTATCAAATCATTAAAATTTAAATATATTGAACTACAATTTTAGGGCATACAAGCACGTGTCTGTGCAAAATAATTAATATAATTACAGTTAATTTAAATGTGTTTGAGAAAATTCTATTAGAAATCGCAATGTTTAGTTTTAATTGAAAGCGATAACTTCATTTTTGAAATAAACAGTTGACAATTTTATCTAAATATCTAAATTTTAAATTCGATTAAGTCAATTTTTGCTCATTTCGGGAAGTTCATGCAACTTGCTTTAAGGCTAAATGTCACTTTCAACTAGTTTAAGTTTATTGCCTTAATTACATAATCTATCTGGATTAATTAGATGAAATTTACTGTATTATTGTTATAAATATAATGCTTTTTGTATGCTTCAAAATAATTTTTAGTTTTGCTTAGTAGTGTTTTCTAAAAATAAATTCAATCCGCTTCATATTCAATTTAATTCCTGTTCAAGTTCATAAAGTATTTTCATCCGTTCGATCGATTATTTTTAACCGACGATGAAATCATCGCCAAAACAAAACTTAATTTATAACAGTTGTTTTTGGCGATTGATTTATTACTACATTACTACACCTACACCTTAATCAACCAATACGATCTGATCTGGAGTTGATTTAAATTTATTGTTTTAAAATTCGCAAACGGCTTTTGCCAAAAAAAACTTCAAGTTCATCTAATAAAACATTATACAGAGTCGGGACATAAATAATGCTTTTTTTAAATAAAGATATACCCATTTCCGTCGGAAATAAACTACTCATAATCAGGTATAAAAATAGGATTACTGAACATCCTAGTTGTTAGATCAAATTTATAACAGAAAATTTTAAAAGTGCTTTATAACTTATTTAAATTTGCTAATAAGTAAAACTTGCCACTGAAGAGTCGCATCGTGAGAAGTAGTACTCAGTTTTAATCATTTTAAAAACAGTTGATTCAATATAATATGCTGATAAATAATTATACAAAAAATGAAAATAAAGTTTTTTTTTGTAATATTGATGAAATATTCAAAAATGATATAAAGTATATTTATGCTAATGAATATGTTTTATTTAATATTTGTTGACTAAGAGTTAAAGTTGGCAAATTGAATAATACCATTATTGTAATTTATTGTTGTATCAAAAATACACTGCCGGATAATTTTTAATTTTTGCAGTCCATATGATTTAACTTCATTTTGCAAAAAATGAATATTTGCGCATTTTATTTTATTTTATTAATGTATATTTTATTAATTTTTCAGAGTGGTTCAGAAAGATCTAGCCGTTCACGATTGGGTTCGTCTACGTCACTGGTGGACGACAATGACGTCACCGAAAATGGAAGTGACGTCATTGATTACAAAGCCCTGTGGGAGAGCGCAAAGTAAATATAAACATTGCCAATTTCTTTTCATAAAAAACATTATAATTTATACAGTAATTAGACTTATAGTATTTATTCTCATTTTAGTGATCAGATTTTAAATTTTGATTTATATAGATTTATTTACAAAACATAAATGATTTTCTATTAGATTTGTTCAACAATTTCCTTTTTAAATTATTGAGATTTGATTTATGAATGCTAACTTTCCTTACTAATAATCTTGCAGCTTGTCTATCTATCTATTCATCATCATTGTTATTATTACTATTATTTTTATTAATATTAATTAATTTTTATTTAATTTAAAGAGCTGACAATGAGAGGCTACAAGAGCAACTGAAGAAACGCAACGAGGAACTAAAAGATGCCAAAGCCACCATCGATCGAGTCACCAATGTAGTCAGTATACTTTTTTTTATTCTTTACTATTTACTAGTTAATGTAAAAATTAGTTGTATACATACATTTTATTATATCCCAAAAAAACTAAAGGTTCATAAAACCATTAATAACACTATTACGTAACTTAAACGGAACACTGACGTCACTAATGTAACTCGTTGTTTCGTTTCTGCTACGTTAACATGTTTTGTTTCGTTTCGAATACGTTGTGGTTTTGTTTTTGCTACGTTTTTAGTTTTCGAGTAAACTATGTGTCTATATGGGTCGTTCATGTATCTTTAATGCTACATATAAATATTATTCAATTTCCTGAAAATATAGAAGTTGTTTTGCTTATATATAATAATAATTAAGACCGTTAAGTTTTTATTTAGTAATTCTATTAAATATTTTCATTTCGAATATTCAAAATTAAAGCTTTCCAAATTTATTCATTTATTTTAATTAAAATAGTTAAACAATTAAATTTAAATTTGCTGATAAAACATACATTTTATAATTAATTTAATAAGTTAATAACACATTTCAGCTATTATGTTATACGTTAATACGGTTACTTTATTTTTATTCAAATAAATTACAAATTTTACATCATTTAGATACAATTAAAGTTGCAAAATTCAAATGACTACTTTTTGACTTACTCATCTTTATTATGACTTCTTTAGTGCTTGAAAATCATATCGTCATTTTTATGAAACATTTATGAAACAAGGGCAACATAGCTGCCACGTAACAAAGTGATATCGATTTAGCTTTATAATCATACGTAACAACCACGTTTTCTCAATGTCATCTAAGTTTTATATGTGCTCTTAATATTTCTTTTAAATTTCTTACATGAGTTATGTATTTTTATGTTATATAAATATTATTTCTGATTTATAAATTATTTACTGATGTTTTTTTTATTTTTCAGACAAACAAAGGCGCCTTATCGGAATTAGAAAAACGTGAAAAGCGCGCGATGGAGAGAAAGTTGTCAGAAATGGAAGAGGAACTTAAAGTAAGTAATTTCTTATATTTTTTTATTTTTTCATTTCATGTTAATTTATTGTTTATTCGATTATTATTTATGTCGTGTTAATAAAATAGTAGTATAAACATCAACTAACAACAAACAAAAAGAATTTCGAAAGAAGTTTTTCCAGAGAGAATAATATGGTTTTGAACAAAACGATATTAAAAAAAGATATTTGACTTTTAAAAGAAACACTCTTATTTTTATCATAAGGTTTCGGATCAAAATCTTTTATTTTTATTCTAGGTTTTGAGTAAAAAAATATTATTTTAGTAATTGCTAATGCACATGCTGTTCGAGTTATTTTTTTTTATAAGCATATATCTTAATATTGCATATTTATTTTATATATTAAAAAATTTTGGCTCAATTAATCGACAATAATTAATAAATCCGCTTTGTAAAAAAATTTTAAAAAATCAGATAAAAATTAGAAGATATATATACTAGAATTTACATATATATTTAGGTTTTGTTAAATTATTATAGTAAAAAATTCAGTTAATAGATAGATTTTTGGGCACGTAATACTAGTTCAATTAAATTAAACATAAAACTAAAATCAATAAATAAAAAAATTGTACATATCTCTTCGAATTTGTTATACAAAATATTTATGTAACAAATTAGAAGATATATTGGAACTTTACGATTTTTTTTACTGATCTTAGTTTTATATGAATTGATTGGGAATTAAATTTGTTCAATATAAAAAAAAATATTTACACATTTTCAAGTCAACAATTAAGCAGAGAATTTTAATATTTAGCGATTTTATTTTTGTTAATTGATCTCTAAAATTAGAATGCACTGGATATTGGAAATTAGTTTCAATGTTAAAAAAATGATGTAGATGATATTTATATTTATGAATTTTATTTTCGTTAATTGAACAAATAATATATTCAGGTTTATAAAACATTAAAAAATTTAGTAAAACAAATATTGCATTGATTTCTGGCACATAATATTGGTTCTGTTAAACACGTTTTATTAATTTGAACAAGGGCATTTCCATAAAATAGATTTTATTTTCATTCATTAATTTTTAAATCAATTTTATAAAGTTTTAAACAAAAAACTTTGATTTTTGAAGCATAATATTTGTTAAATTAAATTTACTTTATATAACAAAATATAATTCGTAGCTATTTAGAACATTGATTCTTGATAATATCGGTTCAGTTTTGATAAATTTGTTTTATATAAAAAAATATAATTGTAGAAGATATTATTATTAATCAAAAACTTACAATTTGTAAAGGACTTTATTTAAACCAAACGTTTTTATATTAATCTATATTTATTTTAAAAAAATAATTTGTGGTACATATTCATTTATTTATTTAATTTATTTTCCTTAATTTAATTTACAACACAATTAATTTCATAAAATGATAAACAATTTAGTAAAAATATATAGAACAATGATTCTTGCTGCATAATATCAGTTCATTGAAATTATAATTTTAGAAGATATTAGAAATAATTTACAATTTTTGGATAAATAATTGATCTATATAGGAATAAAATTTAAACAATTTAATGAAATATTTAATAAATTAATTGAATTAGAGATTAAATTTATTTTATATAGAAAAATACAATTAAACTTCCAAATCAAGTAATTTTTTTATTGAGGGATTTTATTTTCGTTTAAATTCATTAGAGATTAAATTTTATAAAATTTAAATAATTTTTAAAAAATTCTGCTAAATAAAATTTTTTGAATTTTTTTTTTTGTACAAAAAATATAGTTAGATAATTTACGTGAAATTATTTCTAACTTTTAATTACATATTAGAGTAAAAAGTGTATCAAGCGATTTTTTTTGTTTTCTAAAATAATTTTTTCAAAAATTTGTAAAAGAATAAGAATAATTTCAGGCCGATTTGATTAAAAAATGTCCATTATAAGTTTTTTTTGTACTTTGATGGAAACAAAAATTTATTCACCTCGCTCGTCTTTACAAGAACTCATGTTGTTCGAATTAAAGTTTTTTAATAAAGCACTTTAATCAAAATCATAATAAAAACACGTATGGCATAATATTTAATTAATATAATATAATATCCAATCACTAAAAAAAATTTAAAAATCATTTGCATTCATCGTTCAACACACAACGCGCAAATTTTCATCGTCTCCATAAGTATGAAAGGCTACAAAATAAATTTTATAATAAACTAATTTTATTTAAAAAAAATATAGAAATAGCTATCTATATATAATTTAAAGCTTAGTCATTTATTTACTTTCGGACCGATTCTGTCGCACAACAGACTAATGTTATGGCAAGGCCATGTTATGAAGAACTTTTAATACTGAATATTGACAAAAGCCATGCGCTTGCCGTGCAGTCAGGCGTATTTCTCAGGTTGTCACATAGAAAATTGAACCTAGAAACCGCACAAATGTCACACAAACGATGTTAGATAACAGGGTCTTTCTGACTCAAGTTCATAACATAGGAGTGATGTTGCAGTTTATGTGTAAAACGCCTGAATGCACAGCAAATACATGATATTTTGACTATATTCAGTATGATTTAGTAGCATAATGTAAGGAACATGGCCTTGCCATAACATTGGCCAAAAAATTATTTAAACTTATCATAATTTTCTTTGTCCCATCGTCGAATATAAAAGTTTACGTACAACATATATTATATGCAAATACTGAAAAAAAATATTTAAAAAAAACATAGACAAGTTTGAATCTTAGTCAATCTATTTATTTCAAATTTGTAGCAATTGCAAAAATTGAAACACGAAAATGAACGTTTGAGGGCTGAGAATCGAGCACTCACTCGTGTCGTCAGCAAACTTACAGCCAATGCTAATAAATAGGTAAATCAATTGATTCATAGCTGATTTTTGTTAATAGAATGATTATTTTATTAAATCAATCAAATTGGTTTGATGCTCTATAATTATTTGCTTGCAGCTCGATTGATGGTTGCAACTGAATCTTACAATTAGTCATAGTCTTTATACTGCATTGACTGCTAGTCAGGCGTAATATAAGTGCTCAAACATTGAAGACACTGTGACGTCACACGTCTGAGCGAACAATGCCGACGACAATCGCGGACTCTCCCGATTGATTAAATGTCACAAGTCATATGTTTTATTTTAACAATATAACGGCAATAGTGATGGTAATAATTTTGTAAGAAATTGTAATAATAATATTTTCCTTGTGAAACAAATGTACATAAAATCGTATACACCTGTTAAAATCGTTTTATATTTTATGAGGTCTATGTTAGGCATTTTATTTTTATTTTTATTACGTAACATATGACATATGGCATTTGATCCATCGGGAGAATCCGCGATTGTCGTCGGCAATGTTCGCTCAGACATGTGACGTCACAGGCTCCTTCTAGCAGTCCTTGTAGTGTAATGTCTATGATCTTAGTCTTTAGGGCTTGACGTTTGCACTAATCGAGGAAATGATTTTATGTTTTGTTTTTTTTTTTATATAATCAATATTAATCACAACGCACGCATGGATTGATTGATACATTTTTAATCACAATCACAACTCATAATAATTTTGGTTTGATTTTTATTTATTCTGAATGTCTGAAGTTTTTTTTAAAAAATTTCATATTTTTCGCAAATGGCATGTCGCATTTTTTAAACAATTATATATGTTTTCTTCTTTAAGATTTATATTTAAAAAAAGCGCTCGAATTTTTGCGTTCAGTTTGATGTTTTTTTTGTTTGTTGAAAGTTGATGTTTTTGTGTTTTGAATATGCTTATTTTTTCTTGTGTGTTAAATATATATTTGAAAAAATGTTTTAACAGAGCCCATTCGTCGAAATAAAAAAATAAGTTAAGAAATAATAATTTTCTTTATCATACGTTTCGACACTTGATGTGTATCGTCACTCAGTGATCATTATGTCAAAAGCAAGAGCCTTATACATTGTAATAAAATTAATTTTTTGACGGAATTTTAACAATTTTGAACAACATATTTTTAGCCTGTATAAAAATAACTTAAAATACGTTTCGTTTAAATTTACATTCGATTTTTTTATTTATTCCAAAGTTTTTTAAATTATTAATAGATCTAATAAGATGTAAGTTACGGAATTATTATTGTTATTACAATTTTCTGCTTGAAGATCGATTATGTGAATACAACTTCTAATTTCTTTTATTTCTCGCTTTTTTTTGTTTCATTTTATATTTTCTATAAATTACTTTTCTTTTCTGGTCCTTTTTTCCCAAATCCTGTACCTTATTGTTTGATTTTTTAGTGAATATATAAAAAACAATTTCTAAATAAACTGGGTGTACGTGACACTTTGCCTCAAGGCAAGTTGCATGCAATTCCCGAGGTGTGTAAATATTCAATCATCAATAGGAATTGGAATTCAAGACGCAGTTCCATATCCCAGACCTTAACGTTTTTTATAATTAAACTACTTCTCGTAAGCTTATAATATTTTAGTATGTCCGTCTTAAACCATTTTATGTCAATTTTCATTAAAATTGTCATATCGTTTCATTTTTCAATAGTTACAAAAAAACGTCCTGGCCGATTTTTACCAAAACCCGAAGCACGACTCCTAACTGATAAATGTCTAGATTTGAATTTTTAAAATTGATTCAGAATTGTACATTTTTTTGATGATTTCAAAGGAATGGTCAGGCCGATCGTCGCACAAAACTGAGAAACAATAGTCCCCATCGAATGGCTTTCAAATTTTTGAAATCGGTCCAGCCGTTTTTGAGAAAACGTTGATGAAAGGCCAAATCGGTTCACATACAAACACGTAGTTTTTTTAATTTTTTGAAGAAAAAGTTTGTCTTGATGTCAGTAAGACTGCTAATTTTACATTTTCTATATTTTAAGTCATTCCGAATAGTTTGATACTAATTTTTGTGTGCATACTCCGATTCTATCAATTTTAAGTCATTTGTGAGAATTCAAATACTGTTCGACAGATATAAATTGGGAATTGTTCAGATTGGTAAAAAATTAGCTGGGTCGTTTTTTTGTAAAAAAATCTATTGACTGACAACAAACCAAAAATTGGCAAAAAAGGTATTTATTTATTGCAAAGGGTAAAACAATTTCAATTTTGCATTTGAAAATATCTATTTATATTTATAAAACTTCTATAGTCCAAAATATCTATTAGCCAACACAGCATGTCGTGATTCCAATTTATCTTTTATCCAGGGTCCCAGAATTCAACGTCAAGTATTGATAGAACAAAAAAATAGAAAACGAAATATCTCACGTTGTTTGAGCTTTTAAATGCAACCTAGTGCTTTGGTGAAATATGACCATTTTTTGGTTCACGTGGTTAATTTTTATCATTTTTGTTCATTTTAATTTTGGACAAAACGTAACCGTTAATAACATTTCTAGAATCACAGTCAAAAATTCAAATTCAAATCACACAATTGCTCCGAATTTTCTAGAATTAAATTAATTTTTTTTTTCATTTTGTAGAACTATGAATTAAAATTCTCAAAATTGGTCGACTTTAAAGCTTTTTCAAGAAAAGTACTAAAGTGTACTTCAAAGTTTCAAAAAATCGAGTAAAAAAATAAAAAGTCTGAAATTCAGACTTTTGCGCGTAAAAAATAGCTTTTAAACTGGTTGTGAGTTAAATGCACTAGAAAAAATCGTGAATTTTTAGGTTCTATTAAGTATTCTATTAACAATTAAGTATTTTACCATTTTACAATCCTGATTAAACGCGCCAACTTTTGATAAAATTTTCCAACATACTTTAGTACATTTTTTAAAGAGAGTAAAAAAAAGTGCACTAGCAAAAATCGTGTCATTTTTAGGTTCTTATTTTTTCACTCGATTGTTTTATTATGAAGCTATCAAATCTTTTACTATTCTATAATCCTGACTTAAATGCGTTAAAAAATAAAACTTGTCAACATACTTCAGTACATTTTTTTTAAAGTGAGTAGAATGCACTAGCAAAAATCGTGTCATTTTTAGGTTTTAATTTTGTAATTCGATTCGTTTATTCTGGAACTATCAAGTATTCTACTATTTTAAAGTCAATATTAAATGCGATATTTGATAAAATTTGCGAACATACTTCCGTGCATTTTTTTTAAGTAGACCCTGTTGAAGAGAAGCAATTTTAAAATTTTCATTAAAAAGTCTTATTTTTGCTCGTGGTCCTAGAAATGTTATTCACGGTTATGGATCCAAAGATAAATGGAAAAAATTTAAATGAAGTATTACCTGGGTGAGAGGGGGGTCTAGTAAGATATTACGTGTATTTATTTTTCACCTGAATTTTCAGAACAAATAAAAAAATTTACGAATTTTTCGTGAATTCGAAAAATTCGTACAAAAAATTTTGCATAACTAAAAATACACGTTATGTGTGGTGGGGGAGGGGGTTTTAATCTTAAATATCGCGACGTGTCCCCAAGAGGGAAGGCGGTTCCAAAATCTCAAAAAAATTGATCACGTGATTAATGGATGCCCCCTAACTACAATAATGAAAAAATGGTCATAATTTCACCAAAGCCTTATGAAAAATATTTTCTTTAAATTATTTCATGATAGCATCGGTCAATATCATCACCCAGTTTCGGCTTGACGTTGAGTTCTGTGACATCCTGTTGCTAAATTTTAGTTCTACTCAAGTTTACTATATCCACCTATCGAGTCCACGTAATATGCCTCAAAACAAAATGCCACTTACACCTAGTTTAATTAACTACAATCAGTAGCATCTTTGCCTCATTCCTACTCCAAAATCTTCCAAAACAATTCACCAATTTATTTTCTAAACTAGTGGGACAAATATCTGGTAAAATAGATTATAACATACCGTTGTTATGGCAAGGCTTTCTTGATACTATAAACAACCAAAATGCTAAGTTTTTGTTTTTTGTTTTTTGTTTGTGTGTTTTCTAGGTTAGGTTTTATTTCAAAACAAAGTACATAGCATTTTGACAGTTTTTAGTAACAAGAAAGAACATAGACCTTACACTACATGGACAGCGTTCATATAATTGACATCGTATTATTATAATAAAACATATGAAAAATGACATTTAGTCAATCGGAAGAGTCCGCGACTGTCGTCGGCAATGTTTGCTCAGACATGTGACGTTACATACCCTTATAGCTTTTGACATTTTATAAAATGTAAAACATATGAGGACTAGCAGTCCATATAAAGGAGCATAACATAGCGTTGCCATTTAAAGGAGCATAACATAGCGTAGATAAAGGAGCATAGCATAGCGTTGCCATAGAAACGAGATGTTACGGTCTATTTTACCAGAGATTCGAACCCTAAACATACCTTTACCGGCCATTATGTCTTTTTCACCAATTTTCAACTAAAACTATTCCTAAATCTATTTTCTATAACTATAACCTACTTTTTTTTCTCTCCTGCAGCACTTGGAACTGCTGAAAACTGAAAACCAGAGACTCAAAGACGAGAACGGCGCCCTCATAAGGGTCATTAGTAAACTATCGAAATAATAACTAATTAATTAACTAAAATTAATTAATTTAGTAATTGAACTATTATTTTATATTATCGACTACTACTATTCTTACTACTATATTATTATTACATTTTAATAATTATTTTTATTATCAAGTACTACAACAATATTATTATTATTATTATCATTGTCGTATGTGTAAATAGTTTAATATTTTAGTCAATTAAGGACCTATTATTATTATTATTATATAATCTATTATATGGTAAGTGTGGTGTGTGATGAGACTTGGAATGAAATTGGAATTTGATTTAAATGGATAACAAACACCTCCGTACTGGATTATTTTTATACATTTTAGGTTTGTTCCGTGTGACTATTGCTATTTTCAACTGTCAACGGCAGACATTTTGTTACTGTCACACGGAACACACCGTTTGTTTATGTCCTTCGACTTGAGATTTTTCGAATTTCTCGTTCAGGAACGTTTTTATATTTAATATAAATTTAAATCTGGCAGAGTTTTAAAATTGCTTGATCAAAAATTAAGTTAAGTTTTTATTGCACAAGGCAATGTGTAGGTCATCGGTACGATGTTTAATGTATTTATTTTTAAATGACAATTATTTTCGAATATACATATATTATTATATATTGAGTTTATGATAAGTCAATGATAATTTTAGTTTATTTTTTTGTTCAATAAATGTACAGTTTAAATACGTTTTGTTTCTTTTAGTTTCTATAAGTTTATGATTTTATTTTACATTTGATAATTAGAATTTTAATGAATATATTATTTATGTTTTTTTATTTGAAAACTCATCAATATGTATGTAAAATACTCAATAACATAGCGTTGTCATTCTTCGAAAAAGATAAATTAGTCGATGTTAAAACCGTTTACATCAACTAGTTACAGAAGACATTCATAGATGGCGCGGCAAGAATTATGGGCTTTTGTACTAAAAACGATCTGTAAGAGTACCGCGTTACAAAAAAACTACCGACAATACCAAAACTGGTATGAACGCGTTACAAAATGTTCATTTTGTAAAAGATGAAACTTTTTACTACAACAACTAGTTACTAAAGTCATTCATAGATGGCGAGGTAAGGCTTATGACGAAAACCATGTTATAGGAAGTACTGTGTTATAGGGATCACGATGTTATCGGAAAATTGACCGTATTTTATTTCGATTTCAGTTTTTATACAGATCGAATACGAAAATTCAAATTTGTAACTTATAGGCTTTTGCACAAAAACCGCTCTATAAGAGTACCGCGTTATAAAAAAGTGACAGTACTGAAAATGAGAAACTGCTATGTTCATATAAACATTTTGATCAAGATGAAATAGTCGCTATCAGCAACTAATAGTCGTTACAAAAACTAGTTACTAAAGACGTTTATAGATGGCGCTGAAGAAACCTATAGGCTTTTGTACAAAAACTGCGTTTAAAAAAAAAACACTAAGAATACTGAAACCGATTTAAACTGGTGTGTTTAAATAAACATTTTATACAAGATAAAACATTTTACAACGACTAGTCAAATTTGTTCTAAAGCCATTCATAGATGGCGCTGATTGAACTGATTGAACTTTTGTACAAAAACCGCTCTATAAGGGTACCGAGTTATAAAAAAGCGAGTCAAAACTAAAATTTATACAAACTGTTATGTTTAAATAAACATTTTATACAAGATAAAACATTTTACTACATCTAGTTACTAAAGTCATTCATAGATGGCGCGGACAAAACTTGAGGGATTCTTGACGTAAACCGTGTTATGGATAGTACCGTGTTATAGGAGCATTGTTTGTACTTTATTACAAGTATGTGTTTGTATGGAAATCGCATACGAAAATTTAAATTTGTTCTAGAGACATTCATAGATGGCGCTGAAATAGCTTATAGGCTTTTGTACAAAAACCGCTCTATAAGACTACCGTGTTATAGAACGAAATTTTGTCAATACTTAAAACGGTATAAACTGCTATGTTTAAATATAAATATTTTGTAAATGATAAGATAATCAGTATTGAAACCGTTTATCACAACTGATTACTGGAGACATTTATAGATGGCGCGGAAAAAACGAACTTTTGTACAAAAACCGCTCTATAAAAGTACTGCGTTTACTCTATAAAAAAAATGACAATACTAAAAGTTAAATGAACTACTATGTTTATGAAAACATTTTATAAAAGATAAAATCTCTTAAAACAACTCGTTATTAAAATCATTCGCAGATGGCGCTGAATGAACTTTAGCGCTTTTAAACGAAAACCGTATTATGGGGAGTACCGTGTTATCGGAAAATTGTCTGTATTTTATTTTATTTCAAATATACCTTTGTTTACAGACGTAATACGAAACATTAAATATGTTCTAGGGTCCGCAATAGATGGCGCTGATTGAATTTATAGCCTTCTGTACAAAAACCGCTCTATAATAATAGTACCGCGATATAAATTGAGCTGTTATTACTAAAAGTTATATAAACTGCTATGTTTATATAAACATTTTGTAAAAGATAAAATAGTCGCTAATAAACCCGGTTGCAACAACAACTAGTTACTAAAGACATTCATAGATGGCGCTGAAGGAACTAACGGGATTTTTAGACAAAAACCGCTCTATATAAGAGCACCACGTTATAAAATAAGTTGACAATGCTAAAACTGTTACAAACTATTATGTTTATATAAACGTATTGTAAAAAAATAAAATAGACGCTAATAAAACCGTTTACAACATCTAGTTACTGAAGACGTGCATAGATGGCGGTGAAGTAACTTATAGACATTTTTACGAAAAACGCTCTATAAGATTATCGCGCTATAAAAAAATCACTGACGATACTAAAACCTTATATAATATGTTTTGTTTTTAAACATTTTATAAAAGATAAAACCTTTTGCAACGACAACTAGTTACTGGAGTCATTCATAGATGGCGCTGAAAGAACTTATGGGCTCTTGAGCGTAAGCCGTGTTATATGATGTACCATGTTATAGAGTGTTATCGGAGAATTGACTGTATTTTATTTCTATTTTTTACGTTTATATACAGATCGAATACGAAAATTCTTATCTGTCCTAGATGATAGTTTATTCATAGATGGCGCTGAAGGAAATTATGGACTTCTATACAAAAACAGTTTTATAAGAGTACCGAGTTATAAAAATAAGCCCTCACAATACTAAAACTGATATAAACTTATTTCGAGTCGATATTTGAACATTTTACGACATCTAGTTACTATAGACGTCCATAGATGGCGCCGAAATGATTTATGGGCTTTTGTATAAAAACCGCGTTGTAGGAAATCTGTCTATATTTTATTTCAAGTATACGGTTCGAAAATGAAAATTTTAATTTGTGTAGATAATTAATTAATATAAATATTGTTAAAAACGATGGTGCTAAAAATTTAAGAAAAACATTTAATAATAATGTAAATACTTTTTCAAACTTTCTATTTCTAGAAATAAAGTTTTCACAATCGATAATAATAATTGCATAAAGCTTTATATTTAAAAAAAATTATAAAATAGATTTTGAGAATCGTCCACATGAAATTTTAGTATTTTAGTAAAATTAGTAATTAATAGTACTAATAATGACTAGTACGTGTTTTTGCTAAAAGAAGTATCATTTACAACGTTGTGTGTGTGTATTTCATTTTGTACATTTGAATGTTGTTTTATGTTAATTTAGGACCAATTTTGTACACATGACCACAAAAAACACATTTTACTGTGTTATTTAACACGTTTACTGGTACGCACGCATATGGTGCGTGAGGCCGTTGCCAATAGCCAGGCGACGAACCCAACAGGTGGTTTAAATTGAAATTTTGTACTGCAATAGGAATAGTCTTGTTTATCCTATTTTGTTGCATGTTTTTTTTAAATTTCTAGTTTCCAGCTTCCAGAAATTGTTTTATTTTGTATTTAACGAATAAAAAAGTGTAGTTCATTTAGGCAGCACAAGGTAACTAGTAGTGGATGCATTAAGCAAAGACGCGAACCGAAAATGGAAAGACGCAAAGCAAGGTATGGGTGTATGTCTATACTTTATAAATTTCATAAGATTTTTTCATTATAAGAATTCATTATAAGAATATAATACTTTTTTATGAATTTTAACATTTGTTTTTTCTTTAATTAATTATAAAACCAAATATATTGTGCGAATGTGTTATTATTACTATTATTAAGATGCTACTAAATTGATTTCAACAGTTATTGTAAATATATTTATATTTGAAAAAATAAATTTATGAAATTTTAAATTGTAATTAATTATTACATGATATTAATGATGATATTGTTAGGTTGAGTTTCAGGTTACTAGGAAAGGATTCATTTGAACCTATGTATTTCCTTAAAGAAAAATTTAAATTGAAATTTTTGGAGTAAAATCGAGAAGTAAAATTAGAATTTTCAAAAATTTAATGGAAATTTTGCTGGTGTATAAGGAAGATATTACATTAGAATCTTGTTGGAGTAACATGGAGAAATTTGGAATAGTTTTGGTTAAATTTAAGAAAATTTAAGGATGTTATATTGAAAGTTATAATGGTGATTTCTCGATTATTGGTAAGTTTATTATTTTTTGTTTAAATTTATAACATAATTTTATTTTTTTGATTATACTTAAATTTTGAAATGTGAATATTTTTCTGAATTGTGTTTATTTTAATTTTGTATGAAAATTGATTTCCCGAGTTTTCAGTTTTATATTTACAAAAAATCTAAGAAAATACTCAAATTTTTACTTTTTTGACTTTTCAGATTTTTTTAGAAAATGTATGAAAAAATTTAGAAAAATCTCCGATCTTTTGGCTTTAATAATTTCTAAAATCATCTTACAAATTTTACAATTCAAATTATCAGATTTATATGGAATTCTGATTGAATTCATGTTAAATTCTGACCGGAATCTTATCAGATTCTAACTACATTCTGGGTGTATTCTTGCTACATTTATTTTAGATTTTAACTACATTTATATTCGATCTAACTAAATTTTTATCAAATTCGAACTTGACTTAATTAGACTTTTATTTCATTCTTATTCTGTTATTATCGGAAGCGAAAGAGTTATAGAATTTGCTCCAAATAAAATGAATATGTTTTCCAGTAGAGTGTTTTTCTTATGTAATAGAACAATCTTAGTTTGCTCGTCAGTAGTTTTTTTTTGTTTTTAAAATGATATGATTTTAGTAGCTACTTTTAAAATTGATCATTAGTTTGCTCGTCTGTAGAGTCCCTTTTTACTAAAATGAATTTATTTTTCGGTAGAGTGTTCTTCTTATCTTATATTCGTTTGTTTATTTTGTGTTACTTTTGAAATTGATTTTCAGTTTGTTCATCAGTAGAGTCCTTTTTGGTAACATCGTACCAATAACAATTTACTTAATTTGCTTGGTGGTAGAGTTCCTTTTTTTCTAATGAAAAAAATCTGAATTTGCTCGTCAGTAGAGTCACTAGATTAAATTTATTTTTCAGTAGCGTTTTTTTTTAACTGATAAGCGATCTTAGTTTTTTCGGTTTTAAAATATGTTATAAAATGTTGTAAAGAAAATGTGAAACCCCATTAATTATTTATTTCCAATTGAAAATTGTTTATGACTACATTTTTCAATATTTGTTCTATAATTTGTTCAATTTAAAATTAAAAGGCTAAAATTTTAAAATTAACAAAACTAACTTTAGAAACCAAACTAAATTTACATTTAAATTAGAAATGCTCTCTACTAACAGACAAACTTTAATTTCTATCTAGAATAATAAGAAAGGAACTCTACCGACGAACAAATTAAATTTTGACTTAGAACATGAAAAGGACTTTACTGAAGAGCATACTTTATTTTGTTATTAAAAAAGGGACTCTACTGAACATATAAAAAATGATTCCACTGACGAGCAAACGGTTTAACAACTTCTTGAAAGAAACTAATAAAATATCAATTTAAAAAAAGGGATTCTACTGATGAACAAATTCAGTAAATTATTATTAATACTATGTCATTTTAGAAAAGAGACTTTACTGACGGGCAAACTTTAATTTTGATCTAGAATAATAATTAGAGGGACTCTACTGACGAGCAAATTAAATTACAAACTAGAAGATGAAAAAAGAACTCTACTGACGAGCAAACAATTAACTTTGAACAGAATATTAAAAAGGGACAGTATTTTGACTTAAAACCAGAAAGAACTCTATTGACGAACAAAATCTAACTTTGATCTGAAATAATAAAAAAGGGACTCTACCGACAAGCAAATTAAATTATAAACTAGAACATGAAAAAGGGACTCTACTGACGAGCAAATTAAATTATAAACTAGAACATGAAAAAGGGACTCTACTGACGAGAAAATTGAATTTCGACTTGGAACACGAAAAGGAACAAACGAACAAACTTTAATTTTGATCAATAATATTAAAAAAGGGACTCTACTGACAAACGAAATTATTTTCTCATGCATAAACATTTTGTTAAAATTTTTATTCTATGATTTATAAAAAGAGTTATAAAAAAGAACTCTACTGACGAGCAAACTTTAATTTTGACCAAGGATAATTTAAAAAGGGACTCTACTGACAAGCAAGCTAAATTTCGACTTAGAGCACAACAAGGACTCGACTGACAAGCAAACTATAACTTTGATAAAGATTAATCAAAATGCTCTCTATTAACGAGCAAATTATATCATAAACTATAACATAAAACTCTACTAATCAGCAAATTAAATATCGACCTAAAAGATGGACGGCAAAGGCACTCTATTGACGACCAAACTTAATTCAAACTTAAATTACAAAACAACTCTACTGACCACTGTTCAAAAAACCAAAACACCGTTTATGATTATTTCAATATTTCCTTCTTATATTTTATCAATTCACAAATACATACAACATATTTCCATTTAAAAGATACATATTATATTTTAATATAATAACAAGATACAAGATTTAAATAGATTATTTATCACATATTTGTATATAAACATTACCATTTTTTTATATATAATAACTGGGGCCTATTATCATTATTATAATTATATATTTAATTATAATATAAATATTTGTGTGCTGTGCAAAAATTATATCACACTGGGGGAATAAACATAGAACAAATTCGCTTTACTCTGTATGAGCATATCACAGATGGCGCTAGTGTGCTTCGAATTCAGCGTTTGTTATAAAATAATTCTCTAGGTATAGTGCACGTACTTGAAACTTTATATATTGATATATATCTTTGTTGAATGAAAAAAATGTGGAATTTTTTTTTCATTATATATTTTTTACAACATTTTGAAATCATCTGAAAATTTCTCGATGTTTTGAAGGTTTCTGAACATTTTACTGGCATACATCAGAAACTAAATGGATGTGTGTGTGTGTGTTTTGTATGTCCACATTTTTTCGTCCACGTTTTCGGACGCACGGATAACCGATTTGAATTGTTTAAAAAACATTCTATCCTTATTGATAGAAAGATGTGCTAATTAGTTTTTGGCAAAGGCATGTCCAACCGATACGGAGATACGGAGCAAAGAGTGCAGAAAATAGAAATCGAGTTTTTGAGAGAACAGAGCATCCGATTTGAATGATTCAAAAAACATTCGATTTGTAATGAGTGGAAGAAATGGTGATTAGATTTTGGCAAAGGCAGGTCCAGCCATTTCGTAGATACGGTGCTAAACGTGCAAAAAATGGCAGTTTGAGAGAAATAAGCATCCGATTTGAATGATGTAAAAAACTTTCTGCTTGTATTGACAAAACAATTGCTTTTGAGGATAAAAAATTATTACATCTTTTTTTATTTTCCATAAAATATTTTTGTAATTTTGGATTAAAAATTCAAAAAATGACCCGGGCTAAGCACAGTCTAAGCGCCACTCCGGTACAAATGTTTACCCAAGTGCGTTTAGACTGTTTGTGTATGGAGCACTTTTTTAATTTTTTAAAAAAGTTTAAAACTATTGAAAAATGTGAAAATGCCGCCAAGCCAAGCACAGTATAAGTGTAAATATCGCACAGAATTATTCGCAAGTGCGTTTAGACTGTGACTATACGGGAGCACTTTTTCAATTTTGTGTAAATAATTAGGCAACTATTTTTTTGAAATTGAATTCGAAATGAAATGACGATTGTTAATGTTCTTGTGATAAATTGATTTATGATTTACATTTGATTTGCTCAGATATAACAATAAGATAGCAAAAATAATGAAGGTTACTGAAAGTATTTGTAATAATATATTTGAAAACGTTTAAAATTTCTCGAATATTTCATTACGGTACGGTAAGTTCCAGCAATTTGTCTTAAGACACGATGCCATACACCACTAGTTTCGTTCTCATTTCATTTAGTCAAATTCTAATCAGCTCTATCTTTTCTGTATTATATATTTATCTTTTATTATCTTATCTGTAATTAAAACCAAGGGTAAATTTACGTGCTACGCTTGGTGGCGACATCTGTGATACGCTCAAACAACTAAAAATGATGTAAAGCGTTTGCCAACTATTTATATTTGTTTATCTGTGGTTAGTAAATGATTATGTTAAAAAAATGATTGTGTTAAAATTATCAATCGATTATATTTACAACAATGAGCAAAAATCACATATCAAAGCAGTCTAGAAACTAGAAATTAATTAAAACATCTTAAAAACCTAATAAATTTCCATTAAAATCGACTACGGGGTTAAAACAAGTTAAAAAAATATTATTATTTTTTTCACCGACTATCTATTATTATGTATGTTATATATCCAAGCTCTCTCTCGGTTTAGTCGTTTATTTGCAACCTTTAATACTTTTGATATTATTTATTTAACTGATAGAGTGGTCAGAGGAGTGGGTCTACTACGTTGTTCCACAACAGGATTTTTGTTGAGGGACTTCATCGTCTACGATGACCACATTTGTTCGTCTTGTTGAACTCGTTCTGGCCAACGATGAGGCCTGCTTTTCTTGTAACTGGGTTGCATGATTTAACATCTGGAATATAATGAATTTATTAGAATTATATATATATATATATATATATATATACATATATATATATATATATATATATATATATATATATATATATATATATATATATATATATATATATTAGGGTGGTTCTTAATATGGACATTTTTGAATTTCTTTGGTCCCAAGGGCTCAAATGCTTCCAAATTAATAAAAACAAAATTCTCTGAAAGTTTTAGCTCTTAATATTACTAACATACTCCGCAATCTAACCAAAGTTTCTCGGTTCTTATTCCTAAGTAAATACTTCTAATCAAATTTTTGTCGTATTTTTTTTATTTATGATCAAAACAACCAAACACAATGTTATTCTCAAAATTTTGATTCACTTGTCGCTAAGTTAAAAAACAAATGAAATTTCACCCATGTTATTTCCATAAGAAACTTTGATTGTACTGCGCACTATCTAAAAGTTAATATTAAGAGCTAAAACTTTCAGAGAACTTTCTTTTATGAATTTAGAAGCATTTGAGCCCCTGGGAGCAAGGAAATTCGATAACATCCATATTAAGGACCACCCTAATGTATAAATATTTCTAAGAAATTACTAATTTATTGATCAATTATAACTTGTCGTGCGTAGGGTTGTGAAATATCAGTGGTCTTAACATTGAAGGAATATAAAAGCAACTCACCGAACTTGATTTTTTTTATAATTTAAATATTCATTATATTATCAATATTAGTTATATATGGCTTGAAACGTCGAGAAAACGATTCGAATTTTTTTATTAAAAAAAACTTCTCCTTCGGGAAATTGAAAATCTTAAATCGCCATCAAAACATTCAAATTTTTGTTATTTTCAATTTTAATTAATCCATTAATTTGCCAAGAATATTAAATTTTTATAACTGTCGGATTTGATTTTATTCTTTTAATTTATGACTGTCAATGTTATTTTTCGACTATGATTCGTAGTTTATCATAATATATTAGCGACGTTATCGTTTGGGGGCATCTATTAATCACGTGATCAATTTTTTTTATCATTTTTGGCCCCTTTTAGACCCTTTAACTAATATTAACAATAATAGTTACCCTTAACTAAATCAAACAAACTGAAACAATTGCTTTTGCTCGTACGAAAACATGTCTATTTTAAATCTAAATTCAGGTTGCTCGTTAAGTAGAGTTCCTTTTCCATAAAATAATTTTCTTTCCAGTAGTGTTATTCTGATCTAATAAAACAATCTTAGTTTGTCAGTATTGTTCTTTTTAGTTTTTAGAATGACTTTCTAAATGTATTTATAAAAATGACATCGTACTAATAATAAATTACTTCATCAGTAGAGTCAATTTATTGAACTAATTTTCAAAAGTTTCTTTTAGTTAGAAACCCGTTTGCTCGTGATGAGTGAAGTCCCTTTTTTAAAAAAAATGTTTGAATCTGCTGGTCAATAGATTTGCTCCGAGTCGACATTTAATTTACTCGTCAGTATAGTCCCTTTTTTAATATTCTAGATCAAAGTTATAGTTTGCATCGTCAGTAGAGTCTCTTTTTATTATCTAAATCGATATTTAATTTGTTCGTCAGTACAGTCCTTGCCTTTTAAATCTTAATTCAGTTTGATCGTCAGTAAAGTTCCTTTTCTACTTTAAATCTAATTTGAACTTAAATGGTAGAAAAAAGTAAATGAAATATAAAATGTTAACAATATGATTATGTAGAGAATATTAATTTTGTTCGCCAGTATTGTCTCTTTTTAATATTCTTGATAAAAGTTAAAGTTTGCTCTTCAGTAGAGTTCCTTTTCTAATTTGATTCAAATTATATAATAAAATAATAATATAAAATGTCAACAATATATTCGTGTAGAGGGAAAAAATTTTGCTCGTCAGTAGAGTTCCTTCTTTATTATTCTAGTTCAGAATTAAAGTTTGCTCGTCAGTAGAGTCCTTTTCATGTTTCAAGTCAAAATTTAATTTGCTCGTCATCAATCCTTTTTTTCTAACATTCTAAATCAAATTCAATGTTTACTCATGTTCTAGGTCGAAATATAATATGCCTGTTAGTAGAGTCCCTTTTTTCCATGAAATTGAAGTTTGCTTGTCAGTAGAGTCTTTTTCGGGTTCTAAGACGAAATTTAATGTGCTCGTCAATTAATTAAATCTAAATTCCGTTTGATTGCCAGCAGAGTTCCATTCCAATTTAATCAAAATTAAGTCTCAAAATAAAGATAAAAATATAAAATGTTAAAAAAAAGATTTGGGACAAAAATTTGAAAATCGTTGACAGTACAAAGGGACTCTACTGAAGAGCAAATTAAATTACAAACGAGAAAATAAAAAAGGGACTGTACTGATGAGCAACCTATAATTTAGATCTAGAAGATGAGAAAAAAGTCATTACTAATAAAACTACAAATATGAGAAAGTACTCTACTGACAACCAAACTTTAATTTTTACCTAGAAAATGTAAAAAGAACTCTACTGACAAGCAAATCAAAATTGGATTCAAGAAAAGGGACTCTACTGACGAGCAAATCAAAATTAGATTTGCGAAAAGGGACTCGACTAACTTAATATATGAGAAAAAAAGGAGATTGGTTTCGTTCTAATCTCTACTCAATACCATAGTAAAAATATCTGAAAAATGATCGAAGGTCTATAAAAATTAAGAAAATTGGTTCCAATAATTCAAAAAAAAATCTTAATCGAAATTAAGTGAATTATTAGTTTCATTTATTAAACATGTGAGATAAAAATTATTCGATTGTGGTAGAAGGGTGAACATTTAGTATAATAAGGAAACTGGAAGAAAAATAATAAGGGAAACATTATTATGTTATAAATAATTATTAGTGATAATTATATTTATAGTTTGGGTGGTCCTCAATACAGACCTTTTTGAATTTCTTTGCTCCTAAGGGCTCAAATGCTTCCAAATTAATAAAAGAAAAATCTCTAAAAGTTTTAGCTCTTAATATTAACATTTAGATAGTCAGCAATTCAATTAAAAGTTTCGTATGTTTATTATTAACATATGTAATTAGGTAAATTCTTCCGCCAATTTTTTTTAATTGATTTGAAAGCATTTGAGCCCTTGGGAACAAGGACATTCGAAAATGTCCATATTAAGGACCACCCTATATCATAACATAAATAATATAATATATATATCTTATTACCTCTCGAGTTAGTGATGAAAACAATTCTTCGATTCCCTCATTCAATTTTGCAGACGTTTGAAAATGCTTAGCGCCTACTTGAGCTGCATAACTGAAATTATGAAAATGTAATATATTAATAATAATTAATATATAATAAGAAATAAAAATCAGAAAACTATCTTAAATGCACAAAACAAAACAATCTACAAAAGGATTCTTAAGTGCTGAAAATCATTCAAGCATAAAAGACAAGTTTGGTGTATATTTTGAAGAATTATGGAGGATTGCTTACTTACAACTTATATAACATATACTTGTAATTAAATTTACCTTTCTGCTTCTTCTACACTGACATTTCTATCTTGCTCCAAATCCAATTTGTTTCCTACAATCATCAATACGATTTCTGAGCCCAACATTTTTTTGAGCTCTTTAACCCAATTTTTCACCTAAAAAAAACAGATATAAAAACATATCCATATATATGAATATATATATATATATATATATATATATGTAAAAGCCCCTTACCTTTTGGAAAGAATCCTCATCAGTGATATCGTAAACCAAAAGTGCCCCGTTTGAAGCCCGGTAATAAATTGGTCCCAAAGCGTGAAACCTTTCTTGGCCTGCTGTATCCCATATGGCCAAATTAATTTGTTTATCATCTAATTTAAGTTTTTTGTTTAAAAATGAAGCCTGAAAAAGTAATAACAATAATCATATAGAAGGACATTTAAAGGTCACTTGAATAAAATTTAAATTATCCATTATTATACACAAATGTATGAGTTTGAGTATGAAGAATTATAATATATGTATCAATTTCTATTTATTACTTGTAATGTGGATAAATGTCTTTCATTAAATTTGTCTTCAACATAACGCAAAACTAAAGAAGTCTTTCCAACACAGCCTTCGCCCAGTAAAACTACTTTAAAATTATAATTATTGTTTTGTGAAACGTTGCCATTTGCCATTTTTATTAAATAAATATAATACTCTTTAATTAATTACGTATGATTTATTGTTTTGCAAGAATAACATTTTATTCAAGTGCTTTTGACAGCTGTCAGCTGTTTAGAGACAAACTTCATTGGTAATAGATGGCGGTAGGGGTATGGATTTGTAAAAAATAATGGATTTTTAAATATTTTTGATAATTTGTTTGATTAATAGTAAATAATATTAATATTTTCTTTAGTACTAATATTATTGTTTGAATTATGATGTAATTGATGTTTAATTTTAACTATATACGCGATAATTTAGCTTTTGTTATAGAAGTGTTTTCAACGCGTTTGAAAATGCCGCCAAAATTATGCTTGTGTTGATTTAAATTTGGATAAAAGATGGCGGAAAAGGTACTGGTTCGTGAAAAATTAAATATTCTGGATATTTTGTTGATTAATAGTAAATGATATGAATATTTTCATTAGTACTACTATTGTTTTTTAAATTATGATGTAATCAATATTTATTTTCAACTTAATACGCGATAATTTACGTTTCGTTATAAAAGTGTTTTCAACAAGTTTGAAAATGCCGCCAAAAAATTTCAAACCAAATTATGCTTGTGTTGATTTAAATTTAGATAAAAGATGGTGGAAAAGGTACTGGTTTGTGAAAAATAATGTAAATTTTAAATATTATGAATATTTTGTGGATTATTAATGAATAATGTTGATATTTTCATTAGTAAATAATATCACTGTTCATAATATGATGTAATTGATATTAAGTTTCAATTTAATACGCGATAATTTACGTTTTGTTAGAAAAGTGTTTTCAACAAGTTTGAAAATGCCGCCGAAACGTTTAAAAGAAAATTATGTGTGTTTTAATATAAATTTAAACAGATTCTTGAAATATAGAGTATTATTAGTGTTTGTATGTTTATGTGTGAATTTATTTATAAAACTAACTGCTTTACAACAAAATATAAAAAACTTATAAAATAAAATTAATTTTGACCAGTTGTTAAAACATTCTGCAAAATATATTTATTTGTATCATAAATTTAAACACATTGGTGAAATAAATCAATAATAATAATAATAATCATACTAGTAATTATTGTATATAACAGATTTGATATAAATGAAAATAAACTAAAAATTGTACTCAATTTCATTTAAATGATGTTTATATAAAATGTATAAATATTAAAATAATTGTAAACAAAACTCAAATGTATAAAAATTGTATTTAAATACAGTATTTAATTTAAAAAAAATCATAATATCATTTGTGAGTTGCAAAAACTTTTGGTATTCATTTAGAAGTTTTATGAACCCAATTTTTGAAAATGCCGCCAAAAAATTTTCAAAGCCATTTACATTTATTTTACAACTTTAAACCTAATTGTAAAATAAATATAGCTAGTAACATTGGTATGTTTAAGTGTAAATTTATTTGTAAAGTGTAGTGTTTAATATCTTATATTAATACCATAGAAAAGGAAATGATTAATACATAACAAGTTGAAAGAAACCTAAATTTGACAGTTGGGAAGCCATCTTGTACAATATCGATATAATATATTTAACAAAAATAAAAAAAGTGTTAATTATGAAATAGTATTGTTGGAAAGTTAAATGTATGCAAAAAATAGCGTGTAGTTGTTAAAAAAGTTATAAAACTAATATAGTGTTTACAATTTGTGTTAAAAATACTTTTGACAGTAATTGATTTGACATGCCGCCATTTTAAGTGTTAATATCGATACAAACTTAAAGCATTATTTATTTTATTGTAATTTAAACAGTATTCAAAAAATTTAATTACGAATACATATTTTCCCATAAAATTTCTGTATAATGGCATCAACAAATTAATATGTACTATTAATTTAATTCATATTTCTTCTCTACTTATCGATTTAACTCAAGTGACAACTTCAAGCAAGACGTCCATCTTAAATTTCGCCGCCGTCTGTCATCTGTGTGTGAACCAAACAAAACGGTAAGTCATTTTTATCTCAACTTTTTAATTAGTTTTAAGCACGTTTTATGCAATAATCAAACACGATTTTTGTGCACGAATATGCAGAAATGTCGTGGTAATATTTTTGAGTTGTTGTCAACGTAATTCGGCGTTTTTATCGGTTGAAAATGACTTTCGAAAATCGGCGTCATTGGGGAATTGACACGGGGTTAAAATTATTTGGCGGCGGGATAATTGTAAGAATTGTATGAAATTATTGAAAAAAGTTGATACATAGTTATCAATACGTGGTTTAGTTAAATTAGTTGTGTTTATTAAAAACATTTGTGTAAATATCAATTATTTTGTTGTGCAAGTTGTACGTGTTTTAGGATTTTTTTGTGTAAGTACCAGAATACCATGTTTAATTGTACAATTAACCTCATCTATCAATTACAATTATCAATCACAATTTTTATTTCTATTATCGCCGTGTTTGTGTTTGACGCGAATTTTTTGGCTCCAACACGTCAATGGCGATGTGTTTTTTTTTTTATTATTTTATATGGAATGTGTATTGTGTTTCTCGATTTTGGAGACTCCAAAAGACTCCTCGATCGAGTTTTATTTGACCTTAGGGTTTAACCTTGTACCTTGTGTCGATATCAGCTGAAGACAACGTGCTTCTGTCATTTATTTGACAGAAAGAGATTTGCTTTTGAAAAAAATTGGCTAGGTGAAAGTGGCATCGTGCCTTAAGGCAAACTGCACAAACTTCCCGATAGGTGTAATAATTGACTTAATGAATTTAAATTGAGATCTAGATATTTAGATAAAATTTTCAACTGTTTTGAAAATAAACTTTTCACTTTCAATTAAATTTTAACAATGCGATTTCCAATTGAATTTTCTCAAATAAATTCATAATATCTGTAATTATATTAATTATAGTGCACAGACACGTGCTTTTGTCCTAACAAATTGTGGTATATTATTCTAAATTTTAATTGATTTATATAATTCAACTAATTTTCCTGGGACTGTTTAGTGCATGAACTTTATCGTAATGTTAAATTTTATGAAAAATGTCGAAATTATTTTGTGAAGTATTAAGCATCTGCTATAAAAAAAATACTGGTTTAATTACATAAATCATGTACGTTGTCCTTGATATTATTTAATGATTTAAATGAAAGGTAACATTTTTCACAAAACTGTAGACTGTTTGTTTACTTTTTTGCTAATTCCAAAGCTAGTTTTAATGAAATTCAAATTTTGACTCATTACATCACAAAAGCGATTTTTGACACAAATTTTGATTATGATAATATTTTATCACACTTTGATGAATTTTTAAACTACTTATCGTAGTACCTAGAATATTTCAGTACTTTCTATAAGACCATTTTAAATTTTTTGAAATTGGTTTAGCCTTTTTTGAGAAAACGTCAATTTACGGCAAAAAATCTGTTCACATAAACGCGCACACACACACACTTTTTCCTTAAATCTGGTCTCATTCGATTCAGATTGGCTTGAAACGTCGAGAAAACATAAAATTAGCGAATCAGATTTTTTTATGAAAACATAAACTTCTCCTTCGGGAAGTTAATAATTACAAAATTAGTTAGCTGTTTTTTTTCTTCAGTACCTCGACATAAAGTTGTACTTCATTTATTGCATGATTGTAAAATTTTTACCTTATTTTACCTGATTTTACCGAAAGAAAAAGGTTTTGTTCAAATACACCTGTGCGAACTTCTTAATAAATACATAAATACATAAATTAATAAACATAAATTTGTTTTTTTTTCGAATTTATAAATAAAAGATCAGGGCTGCATTAACGTCAATGAATGAACAGGGATAATAGTAATTAAATTAATATATAGAAAATTTATTTTTGATATTCGAAAAACTTAACAAAAATCACTGTGCTGAAACGAATTAATGGCATTTCAAGGAAAAAAGTGCCTCGAGATGCGAGCGATTCGACATACGAGCGTGGTTGCGGAACGAATTAAACTCGTATGTTGAGGTACCACTGTTTATATATATATATATATATATATATATATATATATATATATATATATATATAGTCCACTAAAGAAACATAACCGCCCACTTAAAAAAAAAAAGCTCTGTGCATTTTTATAATAATAAGTTATGTTTTTATAACTGCATTTGTTTGCATGTGATAAAATATGGAATAAATTCAAATAACATATACCTGCGTTTGTACAATTAAAGTAGTGCTTAAATACATAAAAAAGTTTTTGTTTGATTTTAACATTCCTTGAAGAAAGGGACATTCTATGTTCCAGAAATGTAGAAAATATTTGTAATCGAAAAATAAAATATTTATTTGAAAAAGGTAGGCTCTTAGTTCTAGAAGATAAAATCATATATAATATCTATCTAGAAATATTTAAACTATATATATACAGGGCCGGTCCTGCCTTGCATGCGATGCATGCAAAAAATGCGGGCGCACGCCTTAGGGGGCGCCAAAACGAGGTTCGAAAATGAAATTTATAATATATTATTTATATATTTTTTAAATATAAAATCTAGAATACTTAATAGATTATAATAAACAGTCCAACTTAACTATGAGACACAAAAGGCATATTCAATTTGCAATGTGATATCAATAGAAACAATTAACCAAATAATAACTCCGCAAATTTGTGAATTATTGTTCTGCTTATTGTTTAATGTACTTATTAATTTTTTTCTTCGTTTGAAGTTAGCGTGGAATCGAAAAAGAAATTATTTAGTATTCAATCCCGTAAGAGCAATCCTACGAAAGTTTAAATTAATTATTGGGCGTTATTGGTGAAAAAAAGGCGAGCTGATTTAGTTGAAATGGAACTTGTTAAAGAAATATATACTAATTATAATAAAGAAAATGGAAAATGAGACGTCAGTGTTCAGAAAATGGCTTGTTTAATTATTATTAGAATTCAATTGTAACTTGTTTTTGTTGCAAATGTTTCACATCTGATGAACTTTGAACGTTGAAGACATGTGTGGTTAGGTTTATGAAGCAAATATGAAAAATGGAAGCAAAATGTACTTAGGAACAAAAATCT